TGGGAAAGGTGGGTTAGTGGGAAGGGGGGTTTTAGTGGGAATGGGGTTAAAAAAAAAGGGGGTTGGGTTTGGGGTTAGTAGGGGGTTTTAGAAAAAAAAGGGGGTTTATTTGGAAGGTGGGTTAGTGGGAAAGGGTTTGGTTTTGGGGGGATGGGGGGTTAGTAGGAAGGTGGGTTTAAGTAGGAAGGTGGGTTTTGTAGGAGGTGGGTTAGTAGGAAGGGGGGTTTAGAAAGAAAGGTGGTATAGAAAGAAAGGGGGGTTAGTAGGAAGGGTTTTTTTGGGGGGTTTGGGAAAAGGGGTTTAGTGGGAAGGGGTGGGGTTAGTAGGAAGGGGGTTAGTGGGAAATGGGGGGTTTTTATAGGAAGGTGGGTTTTGGGAAGGTGGGTTAGTAGGAAGGGGGTTAGTGGGGAAGGGGGTGTTTTTTAGGAAGGGGGGTTATTTGGAAGGTGGGTTATTAGGAGGGGGGGTTAGTAGGAAGGGGGGTTTTTAGGGAAGGTGGGTTGGGTGGGAAATGATGGAAAAAGGGGGGTTGTAGGAAGGTGGGTTGGTGGGAAAATTTGGGTTAGTAGGGGGGGGGTTTTGTGGGAAAGGGGGGGGTTTTAGTGGGAAAGGTTGGGTTGTGGGGAAGGTGGTTTTTAGGAAGGGGGGGTTAGTAGGAAGGGGGTTAGAGTGGGGGGGGTTTTAAATGGGAAAAGGTGGGTTAGAGGTTGGGGGTTTTAGTAGGAAGTTTGGGTTAGTAGGAAGATGGGGTTATTGGGGAAGGGGGGTTAGTGGGAAAGGGTGGTTTTAAAAAAGGGGTTTTTGTGGGAAAGGGTTTGGGTTTGTAGGGGGGGTGGGTTAGTGGGAAGTTGGGGTTTGTGGGAAAGGGGTTATTTGGAAGGGGGGTTTAAATGGGAAAGGGGGGTTAGTGGGGAAGGGGGGTTTAAAAGGGGAAAGGTGGGTTTTTATTTAGGAAGGGGGTTAGAAGGAATGGGGGGGGTTTAGTAGGGATGGGTTAGTAGGAGGGGGGGTTATTGGGAAGGGTGGGTTGTGGGAAATTTGGTTTATTTAAAAAGGTGGGTTTTAGTTAGGGGGGTTTTATGTAAAAAAGGGGGTTATTTGTAAGGGGGGTTTTGTAGGAAGGGGGTTAGTGGGAAGGTGGTTTAGTAGGAAGGGGTTTAGTGGGGAAGGGGGGTTTTAAATGGGAAGGGTGGGTTAGTAGGAAGGGGGGTTAGTAGGGGGGTAGGGGGGTTAGCGGGAAGGTGGGTTAGTAGGAAAGGGGGTGGGGTTAGTGGGGAGGGGGGGTTAGTAGGAAGGGGGGTTTTGTAGAAAGGGGGGTTATTTGGAAAGGGGGTTATTTGGAAGGGTGGGTTAGGGGAAAGGGTTTGGGTTAGTGGGAAGGTGGGTTAGGGGAAAGGGTTTGGGTTTGTGGGAAGGGGGGTTTTATTTAGTAAGGGGGTTTTGTGGGAAAGGGGGGTTTAAATGGGAAGGGGGGTTTTAGAGAAGGGAGGGGTTAGTAGGAAGGTGGGTTTTTGGAAGGTGGGTTTGGGTTTATTTAGGAATGGGGTTATAGGAATGGGGTTTGTAGTAAGGTGGGTTAGGGAAGGGGGGTTAGTTGGAAGGTGGGTTGTAGGAAGGGGTTTTTTGTGGGAAAGGGGGGTTGTGGGAAGGTTTTTTTAGTAGGAAGGATGGGTTATTTAAAGGTGGGTTATTTGGAAGGGGGTTTTGTGGGAAAGGGGGTTAGTGGGGAAAGGTGGGTTGTGGGAAAGGGGGGGTTATAGGAAGGTGGGTTGTGGGAAGGGGGCGTTAGTAAAAAGGGGGTTTAAAAAGGGTGGGTTAGAAAAAAAATGGGGTTTTAGGAAGGGGGTTTTAAGTGGGAGGTGGGTTGTAGGAAGGTGGGTTAGTAGGAAGGGGGGTTTAGTGGGAAAGGTGGGTTTAAAAAAAAGGGGGGTTTAAAGTAGGAAGGTTTGGGTTAGTGGGAAAGGTGGGTTATTTGGAAAGGGGGGTTTAGTAGGAAGGGGGGTTTAGTTAAAAGGTTTGGGGAAAAAGGGGGAAGGGTGGGTTAGTAGGAAAAAAGGGGGGTTTTTAGTAAAAGGGGGGTTGTGGGAAAAGGGGGGTTTTGTGGGGAAAGGGTTGGGTTGTGGGAAAGGTGGGTTTTAGTGGAAGGTTGGGTTAGTGGGGAAGGGGGTTTATTTTGGGAAAAGGGGGTTGGGTTAGTGGGAAAAGGGGGGTTTTTGTGGAAAAGGGGGGTTTAAATTGGGAAAAAGGGGGGTTTATAGGAGGGGGTTTGCAGTAGGGGGTTTAGTGGGGAAGGGGGTTTTAGGGGGAAAAGGGTGGGTTATTTGGAAGGGGGGTTTTTGTGGGAAAGGTTTGGGTTGTAGGAAGGTGGGTTAGTAGTAAGGGGGGTTTAGAAAAAAAGGGGGGTTTAGTGGGAAGGGGGGTTAGTGGAAAGGTGGGTAGAAAAAAAGGGGGGGTTTAAATAGGAAGGTGGGTTTTGGGAAAGGGGGTTTGGGTGGGGGGTTTAAGGGGGGGTTTAGTAGGAAGGGGGTTTTTATTTAGGAAGGTGGGTTTTGCAGGAAGGGGGTTTTGTAGGAAGGTGGGTTATTTAAGGGGGGTTCCCGTTATAGTAAGGTGGGTTTTTTGGAAGGGGGTTGTAGGGGGGTTTCCCGTTATGGGAAAGGTGGGTTATTGGGGAAGGGGGGTTTTTAGGAAGGTGGGTTAGTAGGAAGGGGGTTATTTGGAATTTTTGGGGTTTACGGAAGGGGGGGTTATTTGGATGGTGGGTTGTGGGAAAAAGGGGGGTTTATGGGAAAGGGGGGTTAGTTGGGAAGGGGGAAGGGGTTTTTGGGAAGGGGGGTTTTAGTGGGGAAGGGGGGTTAGAAAATTTATGGGGGGGTTTGGGTTTTGGGTTTGGTAGGTTGGGGTTTATTGGAAGGGGGGTTTTGTAAAAAAGGGTTTGGGTTAGAAAAAAAGGGGGGGTTTTGGGTTGGGAAGGTGGGTTAGTTGGTGGGAAGGGGTTGGGGGAAAGTGGGTTGGAATTGGGGGGGTTATTTGGAGGTGGGTTTTTTGGAAGGGGGGGGTAGGGTGGGATTGGGGGGTTTAAAGTGGGAAAGGGTTTGGGGTTTTTGGAAAGGTGGGTTATTTAGGGGGGGTGGGGTATTTAAAAAGGTGGGTTAGTAGGAAGGTGGGGATTTGGGAAGGGGGGGTTTTTAGGAAAAGGGGGGTTAGTAGGAGGTGGGTTTGGAAAGGGGGATGGAGGGGTTGGGATAGGAGGGGGGGGTTGTAGGGGGTGGGTTGGGGGAAAGGGGGTTGGGGTTTGGTGGGTTAGTTGGGGGGGGGTTAGTTGAAGATGGGTTGTGGGGAAGGTTGGGTTTTGTAGGAAAGGGGGTTAGTGGGGGGGTTTGTAGGAAGGGGGGGGTTTTTGGAAAGGGGGGGTTTGTTGGTTATTTGGAAAGGGGGGGTTTTGGGTGGAATGGTGGGTTTTTAGGGAGGGTTTTTTTTAGGAAGGTGGGTTAGTGGAAAGGGTTGGGGGGTGGTTTGGAAGGGGGGGAGGGGAAGGTGTGTTTTTTGGGGGGGGGGGTTGGTGGAAGTTGGGGGGGGTGGGGTTGGGGTGGGGGGGGAGGGTTGTGGAAGGGGGGTTGGGGGGGGTTTTGGTGGAAAGGTGGGGTGGTAAAAGGGGGTGGTGGGAGGGGGGTTTTTTGGGGAAAGGATTTTTTGGGGGGTTGTGGAAGATGGGTTTTTGGTTGGGTTTTGGGGTGGGTTGGGAAGGTGGTTTTTGGAAAGGGGGGGTTGGTGGAAGGGGGGTGGGAAGGGGAGTTGTAGGAAGGTTTGGGTTACAAGAAGGTGGTAATTTATTTGGAATAGGGGGTTCCGGGGTTTTGGGGGGGGTCCTCAGTGGTAGGTGGTTTTCCTCGGGGGTAGGTGGGTTTCCCTCAGGGGGGAGGGGGGGTCCTCAGTTTTTTGGTGGGTCCCCCGGGGAAGGTGGGGTTTCATGTGGGTAGGTGGGTTAAAAGTGGTTGGTGGGTTCTAGTGGTGGTGGGTCTAAGTGGGGGGTTTGGATCCTCGTGGTAGGGGGGGCCCTCAGTGGTAGGGGGGGGTTCTTAGTGGTAGGTGGGGTTCTCAGTAGTAGGGGGTTTTTTCAGGGGTTTAGATGGGGCCCTCGTGGTAAGGGGAGTACCCAGGGGTTTGGGGGGGGTTTTCTCTTTGGGGTCCGTTTTTCTGTAGTGGGGTTTTGGGTTTCCCAGTGGAAGGTGGGTCTTCCCAGTGGTTGGTGGATCCTTAAAGGTAGTGGGTCCTCAGTAGTAGTGGGGCCCTAAGTTTTTAGGGGGTTTTTCCCCTCGTGGTATTTGGGGAGCCTAATGGTAGGTGGGTTCTCGGGGTTTGGGGTGGATTTCAGTGGTGGGGGGAAATCCTCAGTAGAAAGGTGGGGTTCTCCCCTGTTTGGTGGGTTGTGAGTAGTCCCGGGGGTTTTCCCGTGAAGGTTGGGCCGTAAAAGGGGTAGGTAAATTTCTTATTTTTTGGGTGGACCCCCTCAGTAGTGGGTGGGTTCTAAGTGAAAAGGGGGGTTGTCGGGGGGTGGGTTTCGGGTTTGTCGTGGTAGGTGGGGGTCCAAAGGGGGGTTGTTTGTCCCTTTACATCAAAAAACAAGTGAGAGACTATTTAACTCCTCTGTATTGTCCACTACACGTTTTGTGACAGTAAATTCCCAAAGGCACTGAAAGGAAGGTGTGGCGCGGGGGTGTGGTGGCACAGGTGAGAGGGGAATGGGGGTTTGGGTGCCCTTCAGTCAGGACCCTTCTTATAAACCTGACCCCCGCCCCGCCCTGCGGTGCGTTACCGGTACTAACTTTACTGATGATATAACTAGTCTTTGCAATATAGTAAGTAAAGTCTGTTGATGCAAGTTATTGCTATATTGGTAATAAAATTACTTGCACAAGCCATTTTAGTTCTGCAACCATCATATTGCATTCCATGTGGATTTTGTATTGATATCATATTACTGAATGAGTTTAGCAGATATGGCAGTCTTGTGTTTCTCACCAGGAAAGACCTACGCTGTAGGGGAGGTGATGCGGAGTAAGTGCCAGGAATGCAAGTGCCTGCAACGAGGCACTTTCACCTGCAAACGCCTGGGAGAGGAAAAGTATTTCAGGAAGGAATTTCGAGAGTTGACGCCTACGGAGATGCGGCGTTATCAAGGTGCCATTAGGAAGTTAGTGGAAGTTAGGAAGGCGGGGTGGCATTACCTCACTCGTATGTACACACAGCATTTGCCTAACTTCGCTGGCACTGATCGTTTCCTTCCCTGGCATCGTTACCTCTTGTGGCTGGTAGATGTTCTTCTTCAAGAGGATGGTTCCTGCGATCTTTCCGTTCCTTACTTCGACTGGACTCTTGACGTTGGCGACATAAGCACATCAGCAGCGTGGCAAGCCAATTACTTTGGTGGTGATGGTGACCGCAAGACACTCTGTGTGACCCATCACCCATTCAGGTCACCTGGTCACGATGACTGGGCTCCCTGTCTCATGAGAAGCTTCAACCGTTCAGTCTGGTTACCTGACGCAGTTGGAATCGCACATCTGATAAACAACGCTAACTACAGGCAATTCAGACTACACATGGAAGCCATATCTGGGCTCTTTCAGCTGTTCGTTGGAGGTCACTCACTCACGCACGAGAGACTTTACGATCCCGTATTCCTCTCACATGTGGCGTTTCTTGACAAGATATTTGACAGCTGGCTGAGGAAGCATGGACAAACTGGTGCTCTTTTTCTGACAGAGATGAATTCTGGCTTGCTAGAGCCCTTTGGTGTCACCCCTCACGACTCTCTCGAGGCTGTGCTCCAGCACGGTGTCACCTACAGTGTCCTATCCAAGGGTGCTCCGTGTTTGAAAGAGGTCGTAGAGGAATCCGAAACACATAGGCATAGTGGCGAAAATGTCGCAAACGAGAGATGGACGCAGACTGAGAGTGCAGACGCCTACGACGAGGATGGCTACAATGAGCGCGGCTACACTAGTGAGGGCTACGACTCACTGGGTTACGACAGACGAGGCTACAACAAAGACACTTTTAACCGGGACGGCTACAACCTCGCCGGGTTTAACAGAGACGGCTTTAATCGCTACGGCTTTAAAAAGGACGGTTGCACGTCACTTGGTCCTCCATTCTGCCGCTCGACGATCAACAGCACGACGACAGCACCTCCATTCGACACTTACGGCTACACGAAAGAAGGCTACAACATTCTTGGTCTCGACCGTGATGGCTTTGATGTCTATGGCTTCAACATGGAAGGCTACGACAGGCTGAAGTGTAACTACTACAATAACGGACCATTCTACATGCTGACGAAGGCCCGACTGGAGGAGGAACTTTATCATGTTACTGACGATGCAAAGTTACTGAACATAGAGAGGACGTGTAGCCAGGTGACGAGGGTACCAGACTGGTGGCTCATGCACAACCTCTTCTCTCTGGTAATATATATATATATATATATATATATATATATATATATATATATATATATATATATATATATATATATATATATATATATATATATATATATATATATATATATATATATATATATATATATATATATATATATATATATATATATCACAGTTTGTAATATTAGTTAACAATCCTCTTAATTTTCTCGTATTTCTCTGTTATTAAACATCATATTCTGCAGGAAGACATCAGTGAACTGAGGCAACAAGAAGCAACAGCTATTGCACTTCGCCCTATACTCAGCCTCCCTCATAAGAACATTGGTGTCAGCACCTCGCAGCAACCGTACCTGCCACCAGCACCTCAGGACAGGTGAGTGCTGTAGATATACACACCTTGTTTGATAAATTTCCTTCTAGAGATTTTGCACTGGATTAAAGAGAAGTGTGGTTCTTGTGGTCCGTCAAGTTGTGTGTTTTCACTGGCACTGTTGTTAGAGTCAGTGCTGCTGGCTGGTGGAGACTTACGGGTAGGTCACCTAACATCTGCTGCCCCTATTCACTTTGGTGTTAATTGCTTGTTGTGGGTGGCATCCTGGGGGTGGTTAGTATACCTTAGAGAGGGCTTTGACATGACCTGACGTAGGATAACGTTCTAAGGATGTAGAAGAGCTGCTAGGGTAAGATAACAGAATTTACCTTGTAAATAATCTGAGGTTAGAATATCAGCTCTTACTTTGTAAATTTAACGATGCAACCTGACGCCAGTATATAAACGCCAGCCTTCTTGCCTGTGCCCCAGATTCTTCATGACTACGGTGCTATTCACACCAGCTCCAAGGCTGAGGGACTGATTACCTCATCTCTGTATATAGTTGTACTGTCTTCCAATTATGTCCTTGAATTTGTATTGATAAAGCCACTGGATGACGAAACGTCTACATAAAAAAAAACCAGATGTCAGACATGTGATGTACATGTACAGGATGTGTGTCAACCTGCGGGTGTACAGCGGGTGTTCGCTCACAGCTCACGTCGTGCACTGTGACGAGGATGAAGTGTGTGATGGAGGTGCACACTCAGCAGCAAAGTGTGTGGGTCACAGCAACGTTGTGTGTCGGGCCAGAGGCTGCGACGGTGTCTGCACACCAACGCTGATTGACGGTCTCACTGGTCAAGAACTTACCTGTTACGGTAACGTTGTCACAGGTTAATTAACGTCTTGCAGACAGGTGTGAATATCATTATTCCACCACTGAGATTTTATAGCTGATTTATGATTTATTTCGTTATTAGATTTTTTTTCAGTCAGTATGTCAAGTAATTTCCAAATAACGTGGCTGATATTTTGACAGACTGTGTGGACGAGGGTGGAGCCGTCCACGAGGAGGGGTCGTTGTGGGAGGTGGAGGGGACGTGTGAGGTGTGCAGGTGCAGGGGGGGACAGGTGCTATGTGCCAACATCACCTGTCCTCAGGTACCCTGCCTTCACCCTGTCCTGCCTCAAGATTCCTGCTGTCCTTCCTGCAAGCTAGGTATGTTCTCTCTCTTTCTACTTTATCCTCGAAATGAGAGGGAGAAGACCATTGATGCTCTAGATCCAAAGACTTGGAGATACCCTTTTCATGCTGATACTGAGGATGATGTAAAGCTGAACTCTTCTCCAGGCTGAGGGACTGACCACCACATATACTTTCCTCCAAGGTTAATAGACTAATTACATCATCTTCATTTCACTATTACACCTGCTGCCTCTGTATCTGACTGAAGAGGTTTACTGTGTATGCGAAACGTTCAAACGGGTTTAGCACTTCCCCTTGAGTTAAATAATGTTATGGTGTGACAAGAGATACAGACCCAAGCATTAGTCGCCATTGTGTTGACAAGTAAGACACGTTTATTCCGAAACGTTTCGCCTACACAGCAGGCTTCTTCAGTCGAGTATAGAGGAGGCAGCAGGAGGAGTAGAGATGTAAAGACCGTGTAATCAGTCCATCACCCTCGAAGACGCAGTTTGGAGTGGTCAGTCCCTCAGCCTAAAGAGGAGTGGGAAAAAATGATATAAGGTGATTTTATTGTGTTTTTCGACGCTTCGAAGCATTTTCTGACACTCCAGTTTTTAGCTGAAATATGTAAATTCTCATGATAGTCATTAAGTCTGCTGCCACAACCGTATTTCTTGGCAGACATTAACTAAAATTGTATTATTTTATTCGAAGCAATTATCCTTAACAATTGTTGTATTGTTGATATGCATATTTCAGCTAAATATATATATATATATATATATATATATATATATATATATATATATGGTTCGGACATGTAGAGAGAATGGAGCGAAACAGAATGACTTCAAGAGTGTATCAGTCTGTAGTGGAAGGAAGGCGGGGTAGGGGTCGGCCTAGGAAGGGTTGGAGGGAGGGGGTAAAGGAGGTTTTGTGTGCGAGGGGCTTGGACTTCCAGCAGGCATGCGTGAGCGTGTTTGATAGGAGTGAATGGAGACAAATGGTTTTTAATACTTGACGTGCTGTTGGAGTGTGAGCAAAGTAACATTTATGAAGGGGTTCAGGGAAACCGGCAGGCCGGACTTGAGTCCTGGAGATGGGAAGTACAGCGCCTGCACTCTGAAGGAGGGGTGTTAATGTTGCAGTTTAAAAACTGTAGTGAAAAGCACCCTTCTGGCAAGACAGTGATGGAGTGAATGATGGTGAAAGTTTTTCTTTTTCGGGCCACCCTGCCTCGGTGGGCCACCCTGCCTTGGTGGGCCACCCTGCCTTGGTGGGCCACCCTGCCTCGGTGGGCCACCCTGCCTCGGTGGGCCACCCTGCCTTGGTGGGCCACCCTGCCTTGGTGGGCCACCCTGCCTCGGTGGGCCACCCTGCCTTGGTGGGCCACCCTGCCTTGGTGGGAATCGGCCGGTGTGATAATATAATATAAAATATATATATATATATATATATATATATATATTATATATATATATATATATATATGGCATTTATGGATTTGGAAAAGGCGTATGACAGGGTGGATAGGGGGGCAATGTGGCAGATGTTGCAGGTGTATGGTGTAGGAGGTAGGTTACTGAAAGCAGTGAAGAGTTTTTACGAGGATAGTGAGGCTCAAGTTAGAGTATGTAGGAAAGAGGGAAATTATTTCCCAGTAAAAGTAGGCCTTAGACAAGGATGTGTGATGTCACCATGGTTGTTTAATATATTTATAGATGGGGTTGTAAGAGAAGTAAATGCGAGGGTCTTGACAAGAGGCGTGGAGTTAAAAGTTAAAGAATCACACATAAAGTGGGAGTTGTCACAGCTGCTCTTTGCTGATGACACTGTGCTCTTGGGAGATTCTGAAGAGAAGTTGCAGAGATTGGTGGATGAATTTGGTAGGGTGTGCAAAAGAAGAAAATTAAAAGTGAATACAGGAAAGAGTAAGGTTATGAGGATAACAAAAAGATTAGGTGATGAAAGATTGGATATCAGATTGGAGGGAGAGAGTATGGAGGAGGTGAACGTATTCAGATATTTGGGAGTGGACGTGTCAGCGGATGGGTCTATGAAGGATGAGGTGAATCACAGAATTGATGAGGGGAAAAGAGTGAGTGGTGCACTTAGGAGTCTGTGGAGACAAAGAACTTTGTCCTTGTAGGCAAAGAGGGGAATGTATGAGAGTATAGTTTTACCAACGCTCTTATATGGGTGTGAAGCATGAGTTGTGAATGTTGCAGCGAGGAGAAGGCTGGAGGCAGTGGAGATGTCATGTCTGAGGGCAATGTGTGGTGTGAATATAATGCAGAGAATTCGTAGTTTGGAAGTTAGGAGGAGGTGCGGGATTACCAAAACTGTTGTCCAGAGGGCTGAGGAAGGGTTGTTGAGGTGGTTCGGACATGTAGAGAGAATGGAGCGAAAGAGAGTGACTTCAAGAGTGTATCAGTCTGTAGTGGAAGGAAGGCGGGGTAGGGGTCGGCCTAGGAAAGGCTGGAGGGAGGGGGTAAAGGAGGTTTTCTGTGCGAGGGGCTTGGACTTCCAGCAGGCGTGCGTGAGCGTGTTTGATAGGAGTGAATGGAGACGAATGGTTTTTAATACTTGACGTGCTGATGGAGTGTGAGCAAAGTAACATTTATGAAGGGGCTCAGGGAAACCGGCAGGCCGGACATGAGTCCTGGAGATGGGAAGTACAGTGCCTGCACTCTGAAGGAGGGGTGTTAATGTTGCAGTTTAAAAACTGTAGTGTAAAGCACCCTTCTGGCAAGACAGTGATGGCGTGAATGATGGTGAAAGTTTTTATTTTTCGGGCCACCCTGCCTTGGTGGGAATCGGCCAGTGTGATAATAATAATAATAAATATATATATATATATATATATTATATATATATATATTATATATATATATATATATAATATATATATATATATGTATATATATATATATATATATATATATGTATATACATATATATATATATATATATATATATATATATATATATATATATATATATATATATATATATTATATATATATATATATATATATATTAGCTTTACCATTCTTGTTCATTTAATGCTGATTAATCCTTGGCACTGGTGCCGCCTAGGGTGCCTCTACGAGGGTCAGGCAGTGCCAGAGGGTGAGGTGGTGGTCACTGAGGACCCGTGCCAGACATGTCACTGTGATGCTGGCACAATCGTCTGTGTGGCTGTCATCTGTCCTAGCCTCACCTGTCCTGACGCCCTCACCCTCCCAGGTGAGCCTCTCATCCGCCCAGGTGAGCCCCTTACCCGCCCAGGTGAGCCCCTTACCCGCCCAGGTGAGCCTTTCACCCGACCAGGTGAGCCCCTTACCCGCCCAGGTGAGCCCCTTACCCACCCAGGTGAGCCCCTTACCCGCCCAGGTGAGCCCCTTACCCGCCCAGGTGAGCCCCTTACCCACCCAGGTGAGCCCCTTACCCGCCCAGGTGAGCCCCTTACCCGCCCAGGTGAGCCCCTTACCCGCCCAGGTGAGCCCCTTACCCACCCAGGTGAGCCCCTTACCCACCCAGGTGAGCCCCTTACCCGCCCAGGTGAGCCCCTCACCCGCCCAGGTAAGCCCCTCACCCGCCCAGGTGAGCCCCTCACCCGCCCAGGTTAGCCCCTCACCCGCCCAGGTGAGCCCCTCACCCGCCCAGGTGAGCCCCTCACCCGCCCAGGTGAGCCCCTCACCCGCCCAGGTGAGCCCCCTCACCCGCCCAGGTGAGCTCCTCACCCGCCCAGGTGAGCCCCTCACCCGCCCAGGTGAGCCCCTTACCCGTCCAGGTGAGCCCCTTACCCGCCCAGGTGAGCTCCTTACCCGCCCAGGTGAGCCCCTCACTCGCCCAGGTGAGCCCCTTACCCGCCCAGGTGATCCCCTCACCCGCCCAGGTGAGCCCCTCACCTGCCCAGGTGAGCCTCGTACCCACCCAGGTGATCCCCTCACCCGCCCAGGTGAGCCCCTCACCCGCCCAGGTGAGCCCCTCACCCGCCCAGGTGAGCCTCTTACCCACCCAGGTGAGCCCCTCACCCGCCCAGGTGAGCCCCTTACCCGCCCAGGTGAGCCTCTCACCCACCCAGGTGAGCCCCTCACCCGCCCAGGTGAGCCTCTTACCTGCCTTGGTAACCATACTTTGGTAACGTCTATTGCATTTCTACCTTATATTAAAATTCCCCCAAAAAAAAAAAAAAAAAAAAAAAAAAAAAAAAAAAAAAAAACCCCAATAAAAAAATAAAAAAAACCCTTTTTAAAAAAAATAAAAAATTAAAAAAACCCCCAAAATTTTTTTAAAATAAAAAACAATTTTAAAAAAAAAATTTAATAAAAATAAAAAAAATTTTTTTAAAAAAAATTTTAAAAAAAAAACAAAAATAAAAAAAAAAAATTTAAAAAAAAAATAAAATTAAAAATTTCAATAAAAAAAAAAATTTTTTAAAATTAAAAAAAAAATACCCAAAAAAAATTTTAAAAATTTAAAAACCTTTTTAAAATTAAAAAAAAAAAAAAACTTTCAAACCCCCTTTTTCCCCCAAATT